CGTTCATCCATTGTCTGATTTGAATAGCTGTCTCACGCCCGTACACACGGATTTAACTCCGCTGGTCACGGCTTCCCATCAGATTTCTGCGAAATCATCTGACGTTTAGCAGCTGTTCTAATGACAGTGATACTTCTTCTCTAATCCTTATCTATGTAAACTAATCAACACTGAGGATAAATAACAATTATTGAATTCACTTCATATACGTTACATTGTCATCCATTAGAACAGAAATAAACACATATAATCAGTTTGCACACACATACATGTATTTAATTGATTTCATAATTAACCAACAACGAAAATATAATCAAGACGGTGATCATCGATCAGAGTTCCATTTCAATGTAGCAAAGAAAGTACAAAAAACAAACTTTGTGATTTCAATCAAACGTTCAGGTGAGGTTTTTTCAAATTGTACTATTGGTGTTGTTGACAGTAATGATATTCGTATTGATTGATAAATTTGATAAAAATACATTATATAATAATATGGCTGCCAATGAATAATTAGGATATAAAAGAAGATATCGTGATTTGCCAACAGTAAGATAACTTATAAATATTGTTATCTGTAAGATAAATAAAACATTAATCAGTATGAAGAATGTAGTAATCTGAATAGTTGAGTTGACTAGTTGATCTGAGTTAGATGGATCATTGAAATCCTGGAAGTAGTAGACGGTCGTTTCGTCAGAGTATGGAACTCTTCATTAGTACACTTTTATGATCGTGTTGGAACAAGTGTTTAGAGATAAAGCGTTCGAATTTCAGATCGAAGGTCCTGGGTTTGATTTATGTACTTGGTATCGTGGATGAGTACTGTTGAAGCGTCTCACACTATGGAGAAATGGCTATTTATTGCTTTCATGTTTTCAGCGGTGATCTAGTTTAGATAGACTCGTGAATTTAACTGTTTAAATCATTCATAAGCTTGGATTTTATATGCATAATTCGATATCAAAATTAGAATAAGTGTTGATACTTCTTGTGTATGAAGTAAATATTAACGAAAATGACATGAGTACAGTTGTTTCAACGGAAATTATACATATAATTCATTTAATATTGTTTACTTGAAACTTACCATTGATGTTTACGACTGTAATTGATCAGTCTCTCTCTTTAGTGACATATATGCATCATGTGAGGATTGCCTCGACTTTGTGTTAATTAACAAATATTATAAGCAAAGTTGAATAGTGGTTAGTAGTGGAATCCAGTTTGACGTGCGTTTCGTGTCAACTAGATGTACTTGATTCTTAGAATTGATATTAAACCTTGGCCTCGAACTCAGTGCCTGTCGTATCACACGCTATCGCGTTATCTACTTACATGTTGTGTCCTAAGCGCCATTTGCTTGTGCAATATCAAGCGAATTTAAACTTGATCCCATCGCACAATCACGTAGCTATCAGGACTCAGTAGCTAAGTGGATAGCGCGACTGTGTTTCAATCGAATATCTCTGGGTTCGAGTCTTAGAGTGAACACAACTATGGGATGTAGGTACATACGACTGTTGAAGCATGCTGAAATATAAAGCGATAGGTCTCTTTTATATAAGTTTCGATTGGCATACGCCATTCAAACCCAGGACTTTAGGTCTCGCGCACGAACGTTTGATTTATATTTCACTGGTCCTGTATGCTACGGTGTAAATGTCTAACTTCGATCGACCAATGAATGGTTACGCAACGCTTCATCCATTGTCCGAGTTAGATAACTGTCTCTCCTCGACATGAACTGGACTGCATTGGTCATCACAGTTTCTCATCAGAATGGTTTATCACCCAGAATATCAATGTCTGTTTATATTGAATCATATGTCAGTCAGTCATTCAGTTACTACGTTGGACCAGACACATATGTGCATCGGTCCAAGTTGCCATACCGCATTAGTACAACAAGATGAACACCGGATTCATATAAGTAGTGGTGGTAATATATAAAAGTAAGATTGTATATAAGAAGGTAGTACAGGAAGAAAGAATCAGTTCTTAGAAAGAAATATATGAAGCGATTTTAATATCACAGTTTAAGGGAAGGCGGAGTGTATACACCTACGCCATTGTGATCAATTCTGATCCTTACCACTCAGAGTCTCCAACCATTGGTTACGATAGTCACGCGGACACCAACCATGTAGTCTGCATCTACCAACATGGTTCTGACCAGAGGTTAGCGACTTCAAGCACTGATGCCACGTTGTGATTTTTCCACCCCTAACTTTCTTCCAACCATCCCCAACACTAATCAGCATTGCGCGTCGTGGTAATCGGTGTTCATGCATACGCAACACGTGGCCCAATCGTTTCAGTCAGTGAAGAATCACAACCTCATCAACTGATTTGCCATTGTTATCGAATACCCTACGCCGTTAAGTAGAACAGAACGAACTGTGGCGCATTATGATCGTCCCTTAATCGATAGACGGATATCTCGCCATCGCCAACGGGCACGTGAGTTGGCAAAAGCCAAACGAGATTTTTCAATCCGTGTAGGGATTTCGCCAGACACCAACGCTTCAGGGTTGATCAGACTTCCATGATAAGAGTTGTCGACGCGTCCGACGACCTCACTCCCTATCCTTAGTTCAGCTGTTGATGCAGATCAATCCTAAAGCAACAATTTGCATTTAGAGGAGGAGAAGTTCATCTCAAACATTTCGGTATTATTGCTTTGTGCTACCAAAAATTTCCAAAAAGTAAACATCAAGTCATCCAACTCTCAAGAGCTGTTGGAAAAGGTAGGATAAACATGCAGTCAACAAGATATTAATTGATCTTTGTCAGTGTAACTATCAATCACTCATTAACAAAACAGCGTCACACAAATATATATCAGTCTGAGTTACTGCAACAGCATAATGGAAGGGAATTGATAGACAAAAAGCAAGGATAGTGGAGTCTGCATTATCTAAGATGGTTTTTAAACTGAAGATAGTCCGTAATTAATCATCGTTTTTATTAATGTGTGCTTAGATCAGGTGTTGACGCAAGCCAGTCCTGAAGCAACAATTTGCTTTTAGAGAGGTGGAAGCACATCCCGAAAATTTTGGAATAGTTGCTCAGTGCTACCAAAAAAACTGCATTTTATCAGCGTCATCTGCCTATTCTATGCCGACAGTTGAATCACCTGGATGGAGCTCAATACTTGAAAATTCCGTCGACGAGAGCGTTATTTTCAGCAGTAGATGTATGATAAAGTCAAACGAAAATGGAGATAACGGACAGCCTTACCGGACACGACTTGAGATTGCGAAATAAGATGACAGTTCACCATAAGCTTTGACTCGACTAGTAGTGTTCGATTAAAGAGCTTTCACAAGGTTTATGTACTTCTGCGGTACTCTTTTCAATGACAGACACTGCCACAGAACTTCACGGTCTACAGAGTCAAATACTGTTTGTAGGTCTAAAAAAAGAGGTCGATTGTGAATGTAGTGTTTTTGAGTGCTGTTAGAGATATGAGGGTGGTTATCGAATCCCGGTTCCCCAAACCGTGTGAGGGTCCTTCTGGAGTTACCTGAAATGAAAAATGAATTAGAGGTGGTCTTAATGACCTGAGAACGTGACCGCAGTTCCTAAGGGACAACTGCTTGTGGTCGAGCACACATGACCTTTTGGTGAGTAGTCTTCTTGTTAGCCCCGTTTTTGTTGAGAACTTACAACTGAAGGAAACACCTTGCGGCTGTCACATCTCTGCACAGTCAGCAGTACGACTTCGCTTTCGGACCTTGGATTGGCTGCTCTTAGCCTCACTGCTCTCCAACCGACTTGTCTGGCATAGTAAAACCTTGAGGAACGATTGTTTTAGCCAATAATGCTCGATTAGTTCATCACGATATGCAAGACTGACCACCACGTCAAAGTAGCATTAACGGTCGGCTTATCATATACAAGTCATTTCCAGCCGAGATCGCAATAAGGCAACACAGAATTCATTTGATAAATGGTCTATTTCTACTTCAAATTGATCATTCTATCAATAAAATTATACACCAATTTAACTCACAATGAAAAATGTTATTTGTGCACATACGTAAACAGCAATCTCTTGATACTGAAAACAACAAAATGATTTAGTGAATTCATTTCCATAATTCAACATTATATTTACATTAAAAAATACTCAAACATGACTTCATAGGATTAAGTCATCGTGTACTTCTGGAAGATAAGTTAATTCAATCGTGTTTATCTCATATCTGATTAGGTAAATTCTATTCACCTCTCCTTATGTTACCTTGCGCAGAGTGGGACATATCTGGATGTATTGAAGCCAGGTTTCTCTCTATATCAGCTTGATTAAATGGTCCATCTTAAATTTTTCATTGAAAAGAACACGGATGCACCATATATGTCACCTTAATTGTGTGTAGTTTGCGATACCGGCCGTGTGTACAGACTAAAGCACTGGGTTTTCTTATAAAAACACGCCAGGAGCCATCAAAATAAAAGTCGGATCCACAAGGCAGTGGGGCGTATTTACGAGATACAGTCCCATGGTCGACGGTTACCAACGATTGGTTCATAAGCCAATTTTTCCCTCTGGATTCTGAAGCTCAAGTGCAGCATCGGTTTAAAATCAGGCATTTTGTGCTCACCCACGTAGAACTTCAATACATGTCAACTCTGTGAATGCACGGGACACTCGCTTTCGTCCTCATAATATTTTAGGCAACACCGGCGCCTCAAATAGGCAGTTAGTGGGATTTTCCTGTTATAGGCTGTATATGAGATGCTATGTGAGAGAATTTCAAAAGGAAGAGCTAAAACATCTCACATATCGATCGCAACAGATAGAAGATTTAAATTAACTTGTAGATCAGTCAAGATTTCGCTTTTGCAAACTTCTTCGGTGTGATAGCAAGCAGTCATATCGGATTATTATCCACAAGCAGAGCTCTTACTTTCAATTACATACCTTCTGTTACATTGGATTATATTTAATAGACTAGTAAAGTAAGTGTGTAAAGATTATCAAAAATTCTTACATAAATAAATACAAGCACGACATTCAATGGATATTTCTCATTTATCTTCTTCACGAAAGCGATCAATAAGACTATCACAAATGAAATCAAACTACAAAATAAAACAGAAATATCTGTTCAGCATAACGTAAATAACTCCGACTGTAGCTATTCTAGGACTCATGCTGGTCTGTTGTCCGGGAATGAAAGAAGGTTGGACGTGGAATCGACAACCCTATCCCGTAGAAAAGAACCTTGCAAAATGAAAACGCTAATAAGAATAAACTTTCCATTTCAAGGAAGAATTATAAATCCCCATGATGAAAGCCGAGATCCATATGAAGTCAAGAAGCTGATGTTACTCATAACAACCAGACCAGCAATTTTATGTAGCTATATGGAGTTTTCGGAAAATGTAGCAGACCGAGAGGACCAGTCGAATAGTAACGGAAATAAACAGGGATATTTCCGCGTTACGCAAGTACTAAAATCTTCGATAGTGGAGAAATGACGTCGAAAAAATCGCAGCATGCTGAGGATGGAAACAGTATGTACTTTTATTGTTTATTTACCCTGTAGATCTTCCAGTTCTACAAGAATATTAGGTCTTTTATGTAACGTAAGTGTTCCTTGAGATGAGTTGAGGTCTTATCACGACAGGACTCTCCAATACAGAATTTTTCATAATCGACACAACCTAAGCTGTAGACACAATTTTCTGAGGTAGTAAACGGTATTTTTTCTTTTATTTCAATTAAAGCGTTTCTTAGAATGTTGTTTGACTTGTAAACAATTTGCAATACGCATCGCAATTACTCTGTCCTACCTCATCTGTAAGGTAAAACCACAGCATCAATCAATGATCTTTCAATGTGATTGTTATTTACAGACGGACAGATTTGTTTTAATATATTTTTAATATTCTCCTTCGCTTTCAGCTTGTATTCTTCTGATATTATGAATCTGATGGCGAGACTATAATTTATGGACGAGCCAATCAGAAGCGTTCAAGGGGTTTCAGGATCTCGGCTCCAATTTTAGTACCTGATGCTCACGTACAACTGGATCACAACGGATTTTAGACAAAACGTGATAATTTAGCGGCTATAACAAATTGGACTACTGAGAAGTTCCTTCATTTATGATTGTGGTAATCAAATGAGTTGTGAATCTTGTCCAGATTACTGTGATGATGTTATCATTCGACGTAATATATGTTGGAGGAAGAAGTCTGCTAGTATAGGATATTTTTGCTCTACTGAATAATCAATGAACCAGTAACTGAATGCAGTCAGGTACCACAACATATACGGACGATTGAAGAGAATACTGATGCCTACACAGACGTAGATATGGTTATCATGTCGTTATCCAAAATGGCATTATGTGGACCTAACAATCGGTGTAAACACAATCAAAGTTGAAGCTATGTGGCTCGAGAGGCTTACTATAATGCAGCCATTTGGATGAGTTCTTTTACCGTATTCGTTACGATTTAAGAATCACTGAACGTCTTCCTAACCTTGACATAATTTTGAACTATGTGAAAGAAGTGTACCCATTTTATTTCTTTAGTTTCGCATAATGTATGTTTACTCTATACCGATGTCTTTCTGATAGGCTTGTAGTACTCAAGATCAATTGAGGTCTATTTAAAGGTCTTTCATAAATTATAGTCTCATCGATATGGAATTACCACTATTTCCGATTATTAGTAATCTATTTCTGTCTCATTATTGGGTGGCTTATTTTGCCAGTACCATTAAACAATGACATGTTCAGATCTGATATGACTTTCATTCTGCATTATTTTGATTGTACTATTTAATCCCGGGTTTAGTTCATTTAGGTCATTTACCTACTCTGAAGAAGTGGCTTATGTTAAGTGACGAAACATCAGAATTAGGATTTGTCTACTCACTAAGTGGGATAATAATTATACACTTTTCACCAACGCTCAATTTATTTGAATCTATTCAATTCATCATTGACATTATTCCTCACATAGATCCTTATCATTCTGCATAAATATTATTTACCTCTGAAGTATGGTAACGAATCCACAGTTGAAATTGATTTCACCTAGCATTGTTGTTTCCTCGTATCTTTCGATTGTAAGTAGAGATGGATGGTGGGCGCTTAGTCCTATTTGGGACTCGTCAGTTGGATATACCTTCATACAAGAGTTGATTTGCAATCTGCAGTCGAACCCAGTATCGTTCTCTTCACACGTTATTACGTTAACCACTTAGCTGCTCAGACTTGATAACGCAATGTTACGCACAGCAGGCAAATACATATATATCCTGAGACCATCGAGTATGTAATGCAGTTGTTTAAAATTGAGAACTAGGTAAGGATGGCGAATCAATTGATGAAGTAGTGAAACGTCATCAGTTGAGATGGCTGGGACATATGTCACGCATACACATACGGAAAATACTACGGATAAGTCGGTCGAACACTATGAGCAACAACTTACTAAGGAAGAGTACAAACGAGATTCCAATGGAGGAACAAATCAAGAAGAATAGCTGCGAGTGGATAGAACACACATTAAAGAAAGCACTCAACTACGTCACGAGGCAAGTCTTCATTTGCAATCCTCAAGGCCAAAGCAAAAGAGGAAAAACAATCAACACATTATTCCAAAAAGTGTAAACAGACATGTGAAGAATGAACAATAACTAGGAAGGGAGGCGCAGGACAGAGTGGGTCGGAGAATGCTGGTTGGAAGACTATGCTACATTGGGAATAACAGGACTTAGTAAGTTAGTAGGTAACCTTGATATTTAATCGATATATTCAATCACCATCTTATATACAAGTAAATTATTAAACAGATTATGAATAATTTGTAAAATAAAAATGACATAACATACAGCAATATACCAGCGATAATGGACGATATCAATTGCCAGCTATTTTGAACATTCATCCTACTACAATATAGACAAATATTATTACCATTGTTGGTTATGTAATTTACAGTAATGACGAGAGCATTATGATGATAAATGATACTGATATTTGTATTTCAATAAGTAAAAGCACCTATCATTAGAAATGATTTCATTAATAATAAAGCATAATTTACTGTTTTGGTATATGTGGATACAACTATTAAAGGATCATCATGTTGCATAATATTCATTAAATTAATTCCTTCAATGTTCTTCCATCGAAGATTTTCAACCATAGCAAACATTACTTTCAATTTGGTTTCCTAGAATAAACAAAAAAGTATCACATGAAACATTATTCATCAATGAGATGGATGACTAAATACTATGTATTGCACGAGAACGCAAGGGGAGTACAACGAAATGCTCTTAAGCAGTTAGGTTGAGTGATGCGCATGCTACTGATGTTGACAGATATAAGTAGTATGTATCATCAATCATAAGTGAAATTTTTGGAGAGAGAAGGTGAAGAAGATTGTAGAGATGACGAGAACACATAATGATTCGTGTGAACACGAATGAACAGTGAAGTTTGGGGCTTTTGGTTGACATTTCCCTAATGAAGTAATTACTGTATTGTTCTCATATTCTACTAGGTTGTTCTGTAATTTATAATTCAAATTCTATTGAATGTCACCCATAACGTTCTCCTTCACTACTTACTATCTAATGTCATATTAATAGTTGGTCTATATTTTAAAAAGATTTCCATGAAGATAAAGTGAATTACAGAAATCAAATTCTACGTTTTAACTTGCTAGTCTCACATAAACTGTTTGTTATATTCCAATGAGCAGATGAATTGTATTTCTAACTTTCTGTAACTTGATGTAGGCTACCTCTTCACTGTGGGTTAATTCGTTTATTTGTTTACTCTGAACAGGTAGCTTACATTAAGTCACAAAGTGTCATTCAGACAGTCGTATGTACTTGATCATAAGATTACAGAACATATTACTATAATCTGAAAATCATACAGCGAATACTTCATTTACAAAATATAAATCGATTATCTCCGACTTGACTGTTCCTCCCGCAAGTATCAATCAATCGTCTCACACTCCATTGTTCTTTCATTTCCGCAACCAATCATTCTCGCTCTCTACCTTCGAACTTCTTAACCTTCTACCGTCAGGCTTTTCACTTTTGACTGATGATACATGATACTTATATCTGTCGACATCAGTAGCACACATCACATGACTCATAGTTTTGCTTGAAAACCTAGGATACTTGTTCACAAACAAATTGAGGTGTTTAGTTCTATCACATTTACTCATATATATACGGACTCTTCGGTAGTGCACAACCACGATCCTGCTGGCAGGATTCGAATATAGGAATTTCGGTCACACATGAGAATTCTTAATCTCTACAGCTCAATATTGATATTATGTCTGTTCAATTGAATAGAAGCTACATTCAGAAATTCAGTCAAATGAATTATGATTTCTCAATAGAAGTTTGAACTATCGTGTCATCAACACATTACTCACACTTGTCTGAATTAGGTATTCTCAATGTACATTATAGGGGATCATCATTGATTCACTTCAATGTGAGCATATACAGAAATATGACTAACAATCAAATGTTAAGTATCATATACAGAGCTTAGATTCTTAATATACCACTTATAACTTCAGCAGTTGAACGCTTGAACCCTCCCAAGTCGCAAACATGAAGACAGGAGGTAACTAAAAGAAATGTTATTCCAACCAGTGTGAATTATTGAACAAAATTGTCAGGTATTTATAGTTTCTAGTAAAAACGAAATCATTCTAGTCTTCATTTTATTATGACCTATCATTTGATTTGTTGGCTACTACTAAACGAATTACTATTCCTGAATTATCCTCAATCGATTTTTTACAGTCTTGATCTTGTACAACTATTTTATAATATGATGAGGTTTGATTCATATCGCGGAAAGTGATATTGGTGTCCTAGACTAAACTGTCTGGATTAAGTGAGAGGCTACTGTCATGATGGACCAATACGAACTCAGAATCGGTTCTGAACTGTTCATACTTGTTTATGCGTCATTGTCTCTGTTCAATAATCATGGACTATACAAACATCTGGAAACATGTGATAAGGCGATTAGAGCAAAACTACACTATTCCTCTCTCTCTCTCCATGAAACTTTCATGTCAATGACATCTGCAAATATTCATTATTTTTGTTAATCATTTAACTTGAAATAATCAAAATCTTACTTACTATATTGAGTCGTATCACTGAAACTATAAATTGACTAGCATATTGACTTGAAGTGATCCCTATTTTCTCTCTGTGTGTGTTCTCCTTACTTGTACCTTTACATATAGTATTTATAACCATGATTTGTGTACATGTACATGTACACCTATAAAATAATTTTTTTGAAAACCTGTGAAATTAGTTCTTTATTTTGATTTGCTATCACCGTGTAGAGATGATAATCGATAGAAAAGCGTGTGTAACTAAGTGCTACGGATGATGATGGAACACTTCAATCAATAAATCATTTCAATCAGTCGGTCAGCAACAACGTAGAACCTTGTATATATGTACACCAGTTAAATTTGTCATACCACATTAGAACAGAGATACAATTGTCGATTACGATCCCATAGTGGTAGAGGTAGTAAAAGTATAAGCAATAATCGGAAAGATTAGGGTTTGAAGGTGTTATTCAAGGAGTGCAATACAATGAAATAAATTTTGAAAGATAAAAAATAAAAGGACATAAAGAATTCAGAAAATCAGAATTTGGGAGAACACAAAGAGTGGATACACCTAAGCTATTGCAAACAACTAATATCTCGCTACGCAATAAATGACGCAATTTGTCAGAAGCTAAGCGAGCCTTCTGTATCCGTGCTGAGAATTCATCACAAACCATACCACACAGACTGATGAAACTCCCAAGATAAGTGAAGCAGTCGACACGATCAACCACTTCACACCCTATCAATAATTCAGCCACTGACACAGTCAAAGTTTTCCAACTAAGAGGAGAGGATCGCATCCCAAGCACGTTTTTATTGTTGCTTAGAGTGGTCAGAAGATTCTGCATTTTATCAGCATCTTCACCAAATAGAACTTTGTCATCGGCATATTCAAAGACAGCAAGGGAATCTCCCCATAAACGTTCTAAAAGCACGTCAATGACAAAATTAAACAAAAATAAAGAGAGTGAACAGCCCTGACGAACACCACTTGACAGTTCACCGTAAGCTTTCACACGGCCACTGGTATTCGAGTAAAGAGCACGTATAAGATTATTATACTTCATCGGTACTCTTTACAGTGACAAACACTGCTGTAGAACCTCATGATCAGCGAAGTAAGATGATGCCATAAGTTCAAGAAATACTAATATTGTGTGGCGTCTAAATGTTCGAATATCTAACATAGTGTGAACATCTGATCTATACAACCATGTCCAGGTCAGAAACCTGACTGGCTCCCTCTAGTCTGCTCTTCACGAACTTCAGTTAGACATATGAGTATTATTGAAGCTAATTTATCATTAAGAAGCAGATTTCCTTAAATTGAGGTTTACTTGAATCTCAATATTTTTTGTTTAAATTAGTTATATAGAGTTGATTACACATACTTACATACACGTTTGAGAGTCATCTATGATTTGGAAATAAACTTCCTATTTCACATTTAAATATGTTTAGGATTGGAAACAGAGAAAGAAAAATAGAGGACAATGAATTCACACTAATAACTGAAGCTTACCTGTAATGACGTTAAACGAACTGATCTCAATTTGGAGTTGGATTCGAAATAGATGGATTTTTAATGAGTATTTTGTTTATGTATCTTATCTATTGAAGTTTGATCAGATTTTCACAGATAAGATAAATCAAGTTTGAATTGCTTAAATCGGTTCATTTTCATATATCGGATCAAGGTTCATTTATAAAATAACAATAAATGATTATCAACTCAATATGACAAGAACAATCAAAATGATACAGAAATAGCAAACATAAGCTATTTGTCTGTATAATATCAGAATCAACAAGGATTACCGTTCTCATTCACTTATTTGTCCCCTGTGTTCTGTGAATTTCGAATGAAAATTCTATGATTTAAGCAAAACTCTATACTCATTTGTTGCTTAACAATCGATACCTATCTCGAATTAAACAACTGAATTTAAAGAACTTTCCCGAACTAAGCACACGTAACAAATACTCTGACTGATTTCAGTGCTCACATATAGAGATGTTTTCTGTGAATTTCAAACGAAGTTAAAAGCATAGTTATTACTTTTCATATTACAATTAGATGAAATCATCATCCTTTTCAAACCAATTATACATTACATTATTATGTTTAGTAGTGACCAGATGTGAGTTTGACATCATTTCCAATTGTAACGTTTATCATGAAAAGATAGTATTGCGATGTTATTTTGCATGATATCATGCAAGAGAGATTGGATCTACTTTTCAAATTTTTAATATTTGAGATCATTACTCAATTGAAGCTAGACCACAATGGAAAACCCGAAAGAAGTGAACGGCCATTTCGTCTTATTATGGGATTCCTCAGCAATGCGTATCCATGATCTCAACTATTAAAAATTACTATATCATCCACAAAATCCACTACTGATACATCCTCAATGATGTAAATCCTTCTAAGTGATTAGAAAATAGCATTCACTTGATACGGTGGGTCAATCAAATATCAATAAACAAATATGCGTACGTGAATGGCTTTCACTTCAAGGGAATAAGACACATGGCATTGGCTTAACATACGACTTAACATCTAGGTGACAAGAAAAATATACATGAATCATTGTAAACATATATCACGACACGGTTGACCAATAAACGTCTTTCCAACGGTCATGATTTCACTACTATAGCTTGAGAACAAACAAATAGAAAGTTTTATGCATTAGTATTGCAATTGACAATCGAACCACACAAACGCCATTTACATAATTGACTCGATGTGGTATTCTATTGAATTAGAATATTAAAATATTTGGTCTTTTTCTTTGTAATCTGTAGACTGTTGTAATTTACATCTTCGGTAGTAAGTTTATATAAAGAACACAGGTGGGGTGGTTCGAATGTATTTGAATGGGGAATTATAGAATGTCATAGCAAATAACTCATTTGCAAGATGTCAATCAATTGTCCCGGACTCCATTGTTCCTGTTATTAACTCCTTGATCTTCCGCTACCACACATTCTATTCCTGACTATCGTTATACACTTCTTAAGTCGACATCAGTAGCACACAACACAATGATATATATTAACAACTTTACTCAATTAGACATTACTGCATCTAAACCCAGAGAGTGATAATAAGTTTACTTCAAGATATTCTCCGTCTACTTAAGCACAGTTGTGCTAAAAATAAAATAAACGTGAATCCCATTTCAACGGTTTACTGATATGATGAAAAACATTCTGATCTGGTCAACTTTGAAATTATTTTATAAATGTTTACATATGTGGCACCCCATCACACTTTTAATTATCACTAAAGTCATTTTGTGATGTAGCATTCAATCAAATATAGTATCACCACTTACATCCTAATGACATATCTAAGCAGCATACCGAAATGGATTCAAGGTAGACTACATTAACCGGTCAAGAGATCCACAGTCGTAGTTGTGCATCTTCAAATACAGAGGACCTCATATTAACATTGACAACTGTCTAGTGCTTCGTGATTTTCAACAGTGGTCTAAATTCAGTTTGTGATTAAAAACAATGAAAATTCCATGATTTCACCAAAACTCTATATCCATTTGTTGCTAAACAATCTGTTACGACATCGAAGTACACAAGTGAATTTGATGAACTTTCCCAAACTTAGCACATGTAACAAGTACTCTGGCTGATTTCAGTGCTCTGATATACATATATCTGTGATCTGTTAATTTCAAACGAAGTTAGGAGGATTGGTCTCACTTTTCATGTTACATTTTGCTGAAATCATCGTGCTTATCAAACTAAATATTTATTCATATACTATTTAGTAGAGATCAGATGTGAGTTTGGCATCATTTCCAATTGTAACGTTTATCATGAAAAGAGAGTATTGCGATGTCATTTTCCATAATATAATCCAAGAGGCATTGGATCTGCTTTTCAAATTTTTAATATTTGAGATCATTATTCAATCGAATATAGACCACCATGGAAAACCTGGAAGCACTGAACGACTATTCGTCCTATTATGTAAATCCTCGGAAATCCGCATCCATGATCTAGCTACAAATGATTCATGATCTCGACGAGCATATAGAAAGTGTATCGAAATCGGAATTTACAATCGCACCACATAAACGTCATTTACATAATTGACTCGATATGATATTCTATTGAATTCGAATATTAGGATATTTGGTCTTTTTCTTTCTAATCTGCAGACTGTTGTAATTTACATGTTCGGCAGTAAGTTTACATAATGTTTTGATTGACAGAAACTTGTAGTCTTATATGGTAAATAGGCATCTTATTGATTTAGCCCATGTGAAACGTAAATAATTGGTTCAATTTCATCAGTCTAAAACTTCTGCACGTAGATCCTCATTGATGGAGAATCGAATTAACTGAAACCTCTCTTGACAAATGAATTCAATATATTAACAGTCATGACGTCATACACACATAGAATTAAACTGTTTAAGAAAAATATTGATCAAGAATGGCTATTCGTCGAGATATTTGACATCAACATGTAGCTTACATATCCATAATCATCGATAAACTCAAAGCCAAAATATACGTTCTACATAGATATTGATTTCGATGATAAAAATGTACGGATTATAAAGAGGATTTCAAACAGAAACAACATTCAAGTCAGGATTGTCTAGTCGATTTATTGTCAAACAATTTACCCGATCCTTTTGACAAGAATCTCAAATGCAGAACATCTGTTAGGACAACAAAAACTGTAATCTTTTGGATTAATACTATACTAACGACACTGATCTAAACTATTCGATTATCTTGAAGATATTGTGCACAATCTATTCTCATAGTTCAAAAAATTACATATCTCTAAAAAACAAGTTTATTTCCAGCGACCGAATCAATGAAAAAAAACAACAGAAAACTCAAATTTTTTGAAATAAATGAAGATGGAAGCCCATAAATGTTAGGGTAAGCCCAATATTGGGGAGAGTCTGTAGCGTGTTGTCGAGTTGAGTTTGACTATGAACACCGCTACATGCCAATTAACCAGTAAGATCCCCGTAGGCTAATATCAGAAGGCAGATGATGGCTGTAGTCGAGATTTAT